GACATATTGATTTTGCAAAGATATATTTGATGTGAATATATTTACAAATGAACAAAAGTTCAAATGCCTGCCTTTTTTCTGAACAGTGTGTGGTTTGTTATCGATTAACGTTAATAGAGTCGAAAATTCCATGTTGTGATTATAAAAATCATCAAATACAAAAACTTTATTTTCATCATATCCCTCAAACCATTTTTCGTCATTTTGTGATTTGTGGTATGCATCAGGGAAAAGTATTTGTATCAAGTAATCTTTTCCCATTCTCGAGTCACCATAAATATAGATGTTGCAAGGAGTAAAACATCTCTTAAATAATTTCTTTTGACTATCTCAAATAGTGTTGTAAAGTTCTTTGATTATATGTAGTGCGATTCCTGAATTAACAAACGTGTTGATAACGATTTTATTTATTGGTTTGATTTGTTCTTTGATATCTTCAATCGTTTGTTTACGTATTTTTTTTGTTCTTCTAAATGTTGGTTGAATCCTTCTACGTTATTACTTCTCGGCAATTCGCCATATTCAAATGGTCCAGAATTCTTATCAACACATGCAAACGTTCGAAATTCCAAGCAACCTTCATCACACTTGTCACATATTTTTGTTAAATCAAAAAAATCACATCTACAATAAGGATGATGTTTTGAACAATGATTGTGATCTTTCTTACAATATCTAATTGCATCTTCAAATGTTCTATTATGATAATCAATGTGCATTTCTTCGTCTTGAAAAATACTTTTAATAGTTGAAGCTTTTTTCCCGTATTTATAATTTCCTAATCTCAATTGTGTCTATAGCATACAGAATCTTTGAATATGTTTTTTACTTGTTTTAGTATATTCATATTGAAAAACTATATATCAAATAATTTTTTTGTCAACATTTTCAATTATTAATTCTTTATATTTTTGTAAATCGTCTGTGAAAATCGTAAACATGAAACGTCTAAACTGTGTTTTCCTTGAAATATTCGTCATTGTTTGAATTTTCTATTTTTGTTCATGTATTTGTTTTGTGCTACTACACTCTTATATACTTTTTTAATAGCCGCAGTAATTAAATGTTATTCTTAAAAAGGAAATTTAATTTATTTTACGTCATGTGCCGCAGCAATAATTTACTACATATCAAACAAAAATCTATATAAATACTCGCTTCCAAATTAGTTTAGAAAAATGTTAAATACATCTGGTTTCGAAAATATATATTATGAAAAATCTCAGAACTCGTGGGTATATCAAAAATATAAAAACAAACAGCTTCACAAATGGTGATTTCCTGGAAATCGTGAAGATAAATCTGTTCTGAACCGCGCAATCGAATATAAAAAATATTATGAAGCAAAATTAAATAACATATCAAACACCATTGATTACAAAAATACTAAAGCAAAACCAAAGAAACCAACATACAACAAACTCAAAATTAACTTTATACTTAACTAATTTATACAGCAATGTTTAAAAAACTAACCAATGAAGAATATAGAAAACTATTTAAAGAAGAGAAAAGACATTATCGTAAACTAGAGAAGCAAAATGAACAATATCAATTAACAAAAATAGACCCAGTTTGGTCTTACATTGATCGTTTTATTAATATTAATGATATTTTTGAAAACAAAATAAATCTCAATGATCCAAAGCTTTATGAAAGATTTACATCAATCCTGAACGAAATTCTTCATTGGGCAGAGATATACAAAATAGAAAAAAATGCAAAATTTATTCGAAAATATCAACAATTACTTAACGAAATACAGACATCAACAACACTTAACGAATTTGTTATAAGCATTTCGTTAAAATATTCAAAATTCAAATACAAACCACATCTTTACAAAGACAAAAAAAAACTTTTGCTATCAATAAGTTTACTTGAAATATACTACAAAACAGTCGAACTAAA